TTTTGGGGTGTTTTTTGGGGTGTTGTGGGGCAGGTGCTGACGAGTAAAGGCGATGCCTGGGCCAAGTACCTGGCGGAGGTGCAGAAGTACAAAGCTCACCAGTGCAGCGACGACGACAAGACGCGGCCCCTGGTCAAATAGCGCCGGCCCCCCCCCAAAAAACCTGCGGGGGGGGGGGCCCAGAGCCCGGCCCGACCCCCCCAAAACACCTGGTCAAACAGGCTCCCCTCCCCCCCAAAAATTACCTGTCGGGCAGGGGTCTTAACTCCAGACTATCCCCCCCCAAAAAAATAGGTGAAGAAAAGACTCTGACCCCCCACAAAAAAATACCGGTCAATGGGGGGGGTCCTGACCTTGCCCACCCCCCCAAAATATTGGCTGAAATAACGCTGACCCCCCCTTGTCCCCAAATTACCTGTGTGAAAGGGGGGGGGTCTGGCCCTCCCTCCCCCAAAATGTGGCCACGCCCCTTCCCCAAAAATGCGTTCGAAGGTTGGACCCCCCCCCCCTCCCCTTTGCAAAAGACCCGGGGGGGTCCCACCCCCACCCCAAACCCCCGGTGCAGGGTGGGGGGTCCTGCCCGTGCCCCCCTATTGAAGGGTGGGGGGCTCCCCCCTTTTCTACTGTGTCTCCCCCCCCCCGCCCAAATTTGAGGTCACAGCGCTGCCCCCCACCCCGCCCCCTCCCCAGATCCGCGTTTTGGGGGGAATCGGGGGATTTGGGGGGGGCGGCGCAGCATTAAAGAGCTCAGAGGTTTCAGAGGTGCTGAGCAGTTTTTGGGGGGGTTTTGGGCGGGGGGCTGGGTTTGGGGTGCCGGCGATTTTGGGAAAGGGGGAGACCCCCCAGATGCCCCCACCAGTGTCACCCAGCCTCAAACCCTTTCTTTATCCCCTCAGTTTCCCCAGCGCTGAGTTTTTACTGGTTTTGGGGGATTTTCACCCAAATGATTTGGGTTTGGTTTTGGTTTTGGGTTTGGTTTTGGTTTGGGAGGGGGACACCTGTGGCCTGTGCCTACGGGGGGAGTGGGGGGCTGCCTTGAACCCCACCAATTCCTCCCAGTTCCCCCTGAACCCCTCCCCAGTCTTCTCTGGACCCCTTTCCACTCCCCCCAGTTTCCTCCCAGTTCCACCCAGTGCCGTCGTTCCACTTGGAGCTGGGGGGGGTTGTTTTTCCCCCCCCCTTTAATGGTTCCGCCAGCGCGCGGTGCACGCTGGGATTCGTAGTCCCGGTTCTGTCCCGAGCACTCGGCGCATGCGCGCTGTAGCCCCGCCTCTTCCCCCGTTCGGCTCCGCCCCTTCCCCTCTTTGCCCCCGCCCCCTGCGCACGTGACGCGGCCGCGCGGGGCGGACGGTGGCCGGCGGGGGTCACGGGGGGCAGCGGCGAAACCCCCCCCGGCCGCGCTCCGACCCCCCCCGAACACCGGGACCCCCCCCCCACCCCAAAACACCGGGATCCCCCCCCCGGAAACACCCCGGGACATCCCCACCCCCCTCAAAACTCAACGGGCAGGTACCGGCAGCGCGGGGGGCGGCGGGAGCGGCGCGCGGGGCCTGGTGTGTGTGGGGGGCAGCGCTGAGGGCAGAATTGGGGGTCCCTGGAGGGGGAAAATGGGGGGAGCCCGGGGAGAGGTTTGGGGATCTGGAATGGGGGGTCGGGAGGGGATCGAGGCACGGGGGGGCTTGGGGAGCGGGGGGGGGGCGGTGTGAAGGGGGTTGGGGGGCAGTTGTGGGTTTGGGGGGAGCAGTTGGGATTTGGGGGAGGCTGAGGGGATTTGGGGGGGTCTCTGAGGGTGTGTGGGGGGCGGGATGGCGGGGGCGACGAGGGGCTCATCCCGAGGTTTGGGGGGGCAACGAGGGTGTCGGAGATCGGGGAGTACAGAGGGGGGAGCGGGGTTATTTTGGGGAGGGGGCGCAGGGGGGAACACCGGACCCTTCTCCATCCCCCCCCTCCCCCATTCCCGTTCTCCCGCCATTCCCGGTCCCGGCCCCACGTGCGCGCTTCCCGCCCCACCCCCACCGCGTTCCGTGTCCCCACCCGCACCCAACAACGGAGACCGAGCCCCGACCCTCCCCAAATGTCCCCCAGGACCCTCCCCGGGACCCCCGGGCCCCCCCCGGGCCATGGACTGGCAGCCGGACGAGCAGGGCCTGCAGCAGGTGCTGCAGCTGCTCAAGGACTCGCAGTCGCCCAACACGGCCACGCAGAGAGTGGTGCAGGATGTATCCTGGGGGGGCTGGGACCACCAAAATGGGGCTGGCATTACAGAGAGGGCTGGCTAGAACCACAAAGATTGTCCCAAAGATGGGTTTGGGACCAGCAAAATGGGGCTGGGACCATTGAGAGGGGGATGGAATTACGAGGAGGGGGTTTGGGACCCCCAGGATGGGGCCCGGACCCCTGGGAATGGGAGTGGGACCCTCGGGACCAGGGGGTCTCAGGCCCCAGGACTGGGGGGGTTCAGAGCTCTGTGGGGGCAGGGAGGGGTCTGTGTCCTGTGGGGAAGGAATTGGGGTGGCCGTGGTTGGCCCTGGGTGTCCCCCCCGTGTCCCCCCCGTGTCCCCGCCGTGTCCCCTCCTGTCCCCGCTCCCTTCCTTAACCGCCCCTCCAGAAACTGAAGCAGCTGAACCAGTTCCCGGATTTCAACAATTACCTGATCTTCGTGCTCACACGCCTCAAGTCCGAAGGTGGGGGGGTCTGGGGGTGTTTGAGGGGTGTCTGAGGGGTGTTCTGGGGGTGTTTGGGGTGTTTGAGGGGTGTCTGGGGGTGTTCTGGGGGTGTTTGAGGGGTGTCTGGGGGTGTTCTGGGGGTGTTCTGGGGGTGTTTGGGGTGTTTGAGGGGTGTCTGGGGGTGTTCCAGAGCCCCCAGTTCAGTCTGTGGGGGTGGCAGTGACCCCTGGATCCATCCTGGGGGATCCATCCCACCCCATTTTCCCCCTCCCCAGATGAACCCACGCGCTCCCTGAGCGGGCTCATCCTCAAGAACAACGTCAAGGCTCATTTCCAGAGCTTCCCCCCGCCCGTGGCCGAGTTCATCAAGCAGGAGTGCCTGAACCACCTGGGGGACGCCTCATCCCTGATCCGGGCCACCATCGGTGAGGGGACCCCAAAATCCACCCGGGGTTACCTGTGTGACCCCCAAACCCTCACCCAAAACACCTCTGGGACCCCCACCCACCTGTCCTGTCTGCCCCTTTTCCCCCATCGCCACCCTGGTTTCCAAAAGGGAGCTGCAGGTGTGACCCTAAACCCCCCAAACCGCATCCCCCAGCTCACCTGTACCTCACCTGTACCTGTCGCAGGTATCCTGATCACCACCATCGCCTCCAAGGGCGAGCTGCAGATGTGGCCGGAGCTGCTGCCCCAGCTCTGCAACCTCCTCAACTCCGAGGATTACAACACCTGCGAGGTGAGGGGGCGCGCCTGGGCACACCTGGGGGGGTGGGCGTGGCCTCTGCTGACCCCTCCCCATATTTTTTTTTGGGGGGGGGTTCCCAGGGGGCTTTTGGGGCGCTGCAGAAAATCTGCGAGGATTCCTCGGAGCTGCTGGACAGCGACGCCCTGAACCGGCCCCTCAACGTCATGATCCCCAAATTCCTGCAGTTCTTCAAGCACTGCAGCCCCAAAATCAGGTGTGGGGGACAGGTGGGGGTCACACCTGGGCTGGGGG